ATTTGGTTGAGTTTTGTGTTTGACATGTTTGAAGAACCAAGAATCATAAACCTTGAATTTGATGTTAAAAATATGTTTTAATAATTCTAAAATGATCTATGAACCTTGGAGAACATTTCTATATAGTTTAATTGAAGTTTGGTAACTAAAATTGATATGTCCGAAAATGGACCGAAGGTAGAAGACGATGAACAGTGATCGAAAATCGATTATTTTCTTCCTAAAAATCGATTAAAACTTGTTCAGATAACGTGTATCAAAATAATAATAAAAAATAATCGATTATATTAAAGTATTAAATCGATTTTTTTGTACTTAATTGATTAAAATATATATTAAAATCGATTTTACAAATTAATCGATTAAAATATATTGAAAAATCGATTTTTCAAATTAATCGATTAAAATATGTTGAAAAATCGATTTTATAAATTTAATGGATTAGTATATATTCAAAAATCGATTTTTATATTAATTTATTGAATAAATCGATTTTTCCTCAATTCCAGTGTCCCGAAAATATTCTTAGAAATATTATTTGGAAATACTAATTATCTAAGAACAATTTAAATATGATTTTGTATAATAAATGATGTTTTTGGCATATAAAACATTATGTGATGCATAACGATAAGTTCGGGTGTTAACACCCGAGACTAGGCCGCTGTTTGCTATTAAATATTATGTTGAATGATCATTATGACGAAAAATTATTATGGATAATTATGAATGATAAACCTACTGATTAAAATGATTATTGATGATTAAGTCATGATTAAAAAAAAATGAATTAATGGTGATTATGAAAACAGTGTATATTGTTAAAGATATCTAGAAGAACTCTAAAATATACCCACTTGTATATTGATGATGATTGTTGAGGATATCTAGAAGAACTCTAAGATATACCTACTTGACCAATTCCTATTTCGGGTTAAAACGTACGTACGGGATCCAGACCAGATATCACCCACCCGACAAATCATTGTTCGGTTGGTACGTAATCCACCTGACCCATAGGGTGGATTATCGATTCTTGTGTTCTGCATTAAACTATTTATAGTTTAAGGGCCTGGTTAGAAATGTTGCCTTAGACTAGGAATAGCTAAGAGCTTGTTATAAAATGATTTGGCCTTAGATTAAGAATAATTTAAGAGCATGGTTGAGATATTGAATATCAAATGACTTGGAATAAATATTGAGAATATCATGAATGTTTGAATCATATACTGTGTGCATGATATCAAATGGTTGATTATGAATTGAGATTCAATTTATTTGGATGTTCGACGCTTTAGATATGCTTACTCAGCTTCATCGCTGAGCGTGTAGTATGTTTTATTTGCTACACGCAGGTAGACAGAAT